TATAGCCATATCATTTGCTCGCTTCAGTAACTGGTGGAGAACGGGTTTGGCACCGCGCCATACTCATCCCGCCTGATACGCCAACCGTACGCAGCGAACTACACTATATCTGGCTTCGTGGGAATCTTTTCACATTGATTTTCAGTTTTAAGCTCGCAACATGTGAGACGTAAGTCGCAGTTTTACGACTATGGTATTGATGTATTGGGGAGGATTTCCACATTTCTTGCCTGGAGGGCAAAGAGGATTTTTGCTAAGTAGACGGTAGTACGCTAAGAGTGTGAACACAACCCTCCTTACATCTCCCTATGGTGCGAGTGAGCGGCTTAATGAAAAGAGTTCGGAAAGCTCAGAAGAAAATAATAATGTAGAGAAACCTGGAAGGCAGGGAGTTTTTAAAGGTATAAGGCACGATAATTTGGTACTTGCCCAAAACTAGTATAAGGGAGCTCTGTAGTGGGATAATAACGAAAAAGCGAAGGCAAGGGCAGCGTTCCCCGCGGCGTAAAAACCTTGTTCTGCACGGCATTGGAGGGCATTTTTGGACGAGTTTCCCGTTGGCTTCATGCCAACACCTGCTTTGATAGATACAGCTACACGTCTACTTTTGTATATTTATGCAGCAACGTTTCATATCAATTGTACCCATAAATGAGGCGAGAAGAGCAGCAGTGTCGATGTGACTGTGCGGCCATTTGTGGGCGGGAAGTTGCAGTGGGCGTCTGGATCGGTTGCCTTGGTTAGGCGCTATAACGGTGCCCATGGTTTTGAAAGACGCTACGCAGCGCCTGCTAAGTGGGACAATAATTTTTCGTGCTAGCTCTGTACGCCTTGTCGATTATTCGTGCCGTTTGCCTTCAAATAATTCTGCGCTTCTTATAATGTTAGAACGCTTACGTTGTTTGAATAGCCTTTCACAGGAATCCGGCTCGTTTCCCGACAATCTGCGACAGTTTCTCGAAGCCATCATGGCCGAACTGCCAAACAACATTCCAACATCGTTTATTCACGACTTCATCTGCTTCGAAGTGGTGAATTCTCTGGAAAGCTCTTTACATTCATCCCTGCTTCCCACTCCAGATTTCCTGTCACGTTTATTCCACGAAATTGCGAAGGTATTTCTAGTGTGGCTCTTCACTTTTTGTATTGAAGTTCTGTGAAAACGCACATTTGTGGTGAAGCCATTCGTTTTGCAGCCAGAGTATGGGCGGGAGTTTGACGCAGCAAACGCGGTCTATCGCCTTCTGATGTACTTCTTGTATCAGTTTCCTCCATGTAATTCAGAAGGCCGTTTTTATTGGCTCCAAGTATGTTTTTTTATTTATTTCAGCGGTGTTATTCATAGGAGCTTCTATTAGGTACCGGCATTCTTACGGTTAGGGCAGTTTTTTTAGAACAAAGCTCAAACAGCATCTTCTTATCTTATCCAATAATTAAAGTATCTGATAACGTAATCACCGAATGACTCAAGAACACCGATCCGCTTATTATACAGAGAAGATCCCATGCTTCTCTAAAACGGGATTTTCAGAGTCAGGGGCAGCGTTCGGACTCCACGATGAATCGCGCAGATGCGCAGTAACGCGCGTCGACGCGCTACAATCGCAGCAGCGCCCCAAAGCCGTAGACGCGAACGAACCCCAGACGGGATTCGATCGGCGCCGGCCGCTTGTGTTTAGGAAGAGTATGGGGGAATAGTATGGGGCAGGTTGTATGTTGGGAATCTCCGGCGGGGGGGGGGTCGTACTTGTTGCTGCACGGAAGGGGAGTCGCAATTGGTCTCGAGAACCCAGTTCTTTGATAGATTGATTTTTTTGTTTTCGCGCGTTGCCTATTTACATCCGTCGAAGAGTCGAGGGGTATCGTATTTGCTCGTGTCGTTGAGTGGAAAGAGAGGTCTGTATTCACTTTTGACTGATATTTGTCGTGTTAGGGAAAACTCTTCTGGCAGTTTTTCCCGTTCCACAATTGCTGTATACCCTTCCCCCTCCCCGTCAGAGGCATCATCGGGTTGGCGGAATCCCCAATAGTGGGAGGGTGTCTATTATTGATCGCCAGGAGGGCGGAGTCGTATTTGGGGCTGACAAAATGTATTTAGATAGTTGATTTTTCTCGCTGCATGGGCTTATCGTAAAGGAGGGGGGGGTTGCATTCAGTCTTTGCGAGGGGGGAGGCCGGGCGGTGATTTACGTTTTGGCGTTGTGGGAGTAGCGGTTGACTTTTGGTGATTTTCCTGTTTCACGTACTATATGCCCCCCCCCGCTCGACGGCTCGATTCGATGAGGAAAAGGACAGAGGGGCTGGGGGAGGGGGGGTCGCTACCAAACCCGCCAAAAAAGGGAGGGGGTCGTATCAGGGGGTTCGACTAAAAATCCCAACCAATAATGCTGCCTGCCCCCCCGTCCCCCCCGTTTGACTGCAAATCTTGAGGAAAAAAAGTTGGAAAAGTTGCGCTAAATTTACATATTAGTAGGATTGCTGGGAGAAGAAAAATAAGAGAAACTAGAACGGTGTATGTAGCGAGGGGGAGGAGGGGCGTTACTGTCGTGGGGAGGCTTTTAGGAGAGAGGGGGGCGGGCTTAGGTGTCATGCTCTCCAATAGTTTTCTTCTGGCAGAACGTTTCATGATGGTAGGTGTTGCCTAGTCACCCAGGCTGGTATATCGGTCGGCACTGGCCGTCTGCGGTTGCGTTCGCGTCTATAGTTTTGAAGCGTGTTGCCAATTGTAGCGTGTTACAGCGCGTTACAGTGCGTCGACGCAAAATCTAATGCCAAAGTTTCAACAGGGGTTAGATTAGACATCAGTTGGAAAAGAGTACGTTTGATTCGCTAGAAATCAAACCGTTCCGTGACGGGAGCTTTAAAAACACTTTAAAGGACGATTCCGCGATCAGGTTATCGAAGTTGAACAATACTGCGCGCTCAGTGAGGTCTTGAGTGCGTTTCGAGCGATCAACGCTTGTACCGGTTTTCGCCTTGCGATAAAATTCTAAACGGAGGGGCTCTGTAGGCATCTATAGGTTCAGTGGTTCCTCCTTCTTTCCAGTGGCTCCGCCTCCAGACTCCGCCTTTCAGTGCAAGGCTTTCAGTGAAAAACGAGATTGCAGGATGAAAAAGCATGAAAATCGTCACTTGTACGATCGTAGAGTTCTTATCGGTGAATCACCTGTGCATATGGGGGCGTAGTGTGGCAGATGGAGAAAATTGGGCACCTAAAGTGGGATCAAAATGGGTTCTATCTAGGGCAGGAAGGCATGTTTTTTGTGCTTTTTTTTCTTCACTGTCGAGTTACTCAACCCCTTGTCGTCTATATGGAACCCCCTAATCCACTATCTGGGATGGCGAATAATCGCGGGTTCTTCCTTTAATAGTGAGCAATGAGAATTTTCACCGAGAAGTTTCGTGCAGTACATTCAGTGCTCTAGTCGCCGAATAATTAGTTTTTATCTGAGTCCTCACTGCGGGAGAGGCTGAGCTCTAGGCACTCTACAAGTCAGTTTTTTGTGCTTGCGGGCGTTTATATTCAGAAAAGGCATGTAGGCGCACATCTTATCGTTCTTATTGGCCCCACACTTCTTTTGGCGAAGAAGTAGGCAGCAGATGTGAATAAACATGGCTCAACAAATGCTTCACTTATTCTAGTCATGCCCAAACCAATGCTCTGGATTTTGCTTTTGTAGTGTTCCCGACAGGGCACATTTTTGTGGGGGATTCCCCATTAGGGGGGTCGTATTTGGGCTGAAAAGAATTTTATTTTAGTTATTTTGATAGTTGATTTTTCTTGATTCATGAACGTTGTAAAGGGGAGGGGTCGTATTCCCCTTGTGACCTTTACAAAAGTGGTAGGAAGTTGGAGAGATCTAAGAAATGGTAAAAGGAATGTTGTACCACCACCACCCCCCCCCCCCTACAAAAAAACGTTCGTATGGAATGGACCAAAATTCCCCCAATAGTGATGTTTCCGATTTGCAGCAGATTCTTCGTTCAGGTATTGACGGCAGCTTCACCGGCCGAGGATGAACCATCGACGTCGAGTGGTCGACGCGGATCTGTTCTCAAGGGACGGAATCTTATTTCGAGAGTAGCTGAATTCAGAAAAATGATCTTGGAAACCTTCACGTGAGTTCGCTGCTGCTAATCTGATTTACGACTTATCATCCATACATTAGATTATCTTAGAGAAGATGGTGTGAACCACAATCTCATGGAATTGCTGCTGTCCGTATTGGAAATGGATCTCTTCAATATGGAGGTGAATAATATTCACAAATTTGAACATAAATCTAAACATAGCATATACACGTAACAACAAATTAAATTTAAACAAGGATATAATGCGTTTTTGATAGCAGCTGATGGTGCTCAGTTTTCGAGAAGGGACTCACGTATCTTCTTGAAAATTGAGCACCTGTCTTCGAAAGCACATTGTTCCTTGATTTTGGTGTGGGCGGAGTCATTTGTACCATTTCGTTTCATTCATTGGTGCGCTCCTCTTTTGAAACCCATAAATGAGAAAATCGTACTTACCCGTATAACTACGCCCTTGCGAGCAGACCTAGTGTAACCATAGGAGCTTTGAGAAGAAAAAATTTCGTTTCACTAATTTGTTGCTGACTTCAGGGTTGTGATGGCCTGAACACTAGCACGTCTGCCGTTGAGGAAGATGAACACAATAATCGTTCGTCGCTTTCAATGAGAAGGTTAGAGGAGATTTATCAGTTTTGAATCCAATCGTTTTGCTGTGGATGTGCCGCTCAGGAAACCAGGAAAAGGTCTCATATTTCCGCGGAACCTTGAATATTAGCCTAGGTTTCAAACTCTAGATGAGAGAGAGACCGAAATTTGAAAATTTTTGAATTTTCATAAAATCTATAAAAATAAGCGGAGTTTGACCGTAGGGGGTGGGGCTTGTATGTGACTATAAGGTCTTCGAGCGACAAAATATCGTGCATCATAGGAACCACTCTTTCTATTTTTTTCGAATGTTTAAACAATTTAATTAATTTTACTTCAATTTTAATTAATTTAATTTCAATTTGTCAAAAAACTTTATAATGATTACAAAGGGTGACCGAGGGGCGGGACATAGTGTGGGTACTATAAAAATTGCCTCTTATAGCCATTTCAAGGGGGTTGAAATGCTGGTTACAAAAATGAAAGCAAGAAGTGTCACTTGCAATTCGCAACTGGTAGCAACTTGCAATGCGTTACACTCGTAGCATTAACCCATTGCGTACCGCGGCGTTTTTTTGCGCTAACCGGCTCCTATGGCCGACGCCGTTTTATCGACGCGACTTGTGGCGCGCTGAGTATAAACACATAAGGTTTCTGTCTTATACATATAAAACTATTGTACACACGTCTTATTGTGCACTACTTTTATACTTACCAGGAAAGGTCAACAGGTCAGCCCGGCCATTTCCAATGAGGTGCACACCGTTGTACGAGTCTTGGGACGGTGAACTCGAATCTACCTTCAGAATTTGCGGAACGACTCTCTGAACGGAGTTATGGAGGGTTTATCCCCGCGTGGTCGTTTCACATGCTATCGCGAGGAAACGTGGAAGCGTCTTTACATTTATGTATGGAGTCATGCTGAAACGTGGTAGTAGAGCGTAA